CGCTCCCCGTGGCATCCCATCGCTCCCCGTGGCATCCCATCGCTCCCCCTTACCCAGAGGCGGCGGTGCTGCTGTGCGGGGCCAGGCTGAGGGTGGGGAGCGCTGCAGGGTGGTTCTGGCTGCGGGGCCGGGCTGTTCTGGGCTGCGGGGGCCGCTCCGCTCGGCAGCTCCTGCCCGCACCCTCCGCCGCCGCCTTTTATGGCCCGTGGGGCGGGCGGGGCCGGGCGGGGCGGGCACCGTGCCCCGATTGCGGGCCACCCCCCCCCTGCCGCTTGGCAGCTCCTGCCCTTAATCCAGCCAGACGGGGGAAAAAAACCTCTTCTTTTCTTTTTCTTTCCTTTTTTTTTTTTCTTTTTCTTCTCCTAGTCCTTATTTTGCCTCATTTATTTGTTTTTATTTGTTTATTTTTTCCTCCTTTTTTTTTTTAAATTTCTTCTATTTTTTCTTACTTTTACCATCTATTTTTTTTACCTTCTGTATTTTCTCCTTTTTACCTTCTCCTTCTGTTTTTTCTTTTTGCCTTCTGTATTTTCTTCTTTTTACCTTGTCCTTCTATTTTTTCTTTTTACCCTCTGTATTTTCTTCTTTTTACCTTCTTCTACTTTTTCTTTTACCTTCTCCTTCTGTTTTTCTTTTCACCTTCTATTTTTCCTTCTTTTCACCTCCTCCTTTTATTTTTTCTTTCTAGCTTCTATTTTTCCTCCTTTTTACCTTCTCTTTCTATTTCTTCTTTCTACCTTTTTCTATTTTTCTTCTTTTTATCTTCTCCTTCTATTTTTTCTTCTTCTTACCTTCTTCTATTTTTTCTTTTTACCTTCTCCTGTTTTTTCTTTTTACCTTCTATTTTTTCTTCTTTTTACCTTGCCCTTCTGTTTTTCCTTCTTTTTACCTTCTTCTATTTTTCTTCTTTTTACTCTCTCCTACTTTTTCTTTCTACCTTCTTCTATTTTTCTTCTTTTACCTTCTCCTTCTATTTTTCCCTTTTCTTACCTTCTCCTTCTATTTTTTCTTTTTACCTCCTTCTATTTTTTCTTTTTACTTTCTTATATTTTTTTCTTCTTTTTCTCTTGTCCTTCTATTTTTCCTTCTTTTTACCTTCTCCCTCTCTATCTCCCTCTATATCTCCCTGTCTATCTCCCTCTATTCCTCCCTCTGTTCCTCCTTTTTTTCTTTCACAAAACTTTTTGATGTTCCTCCTCCCTCCTCTCAAAAAATAATTATCCCAAAGTCTAATTCCAGCATGAGGTATCTGTTTCTGTTGTCTCACTTACTGTGCTGCTCTGTAGCTGCTTCTGCAAGAAATATTTAATAAGATACTAGAAGTTTTATTGAGCTGGTGCTTGGGAGTGAGTGAGAGAGAATCTGTGTCCTGAGCTCCTAAAATATGGCAGGGTTTGGATCTGGGGCTGTGCACAGTCAATTCAGCAAAATGGATATCTCTGCCTTGCTCTTTTTTCTTGGGGTGAAATGGGTTAAAAAATGCCAGAGTGAAGGAGAGCAAAGGTGTTACCCAGGCCAAGGTGTGAAGGTGTTTCTTAAAGGTTTCTAGAGGTGGTTCCTGGCAAAGACAGCCATCAGCAGGTGATGGCTGCACCTTATTTCATAGAAATAGCAACAACTGGAATTTTCTGAGTTAGTAAAAGTTACATCAGCCTGTTAAAACCCCATTTTTCACTTTTCTTACACTTGCTGCTGGAGCTCTGTCGCACTCTGTTGTGTCACTCCTTGTGATTCAGCTGAAGGCCGGGGCTGTTTCCATTCTGGGGAGAAGCAGGAGGCCTTGCTGTCACACTGCTTCCCTGGATTGCTGCCAGGAGTGTTGCATCAATCCCTCCCAGCACGTTGCATCACCACCACCATCATCTGCTCCCACTGCAGGCTCCATCCATGCTCAGGTGCTGCTCTGGCTGGAGGAATCATATCTATTCCACACACATCTCAGCAGCTGCTGACCTTAGGGAGTTGCTAAAGCCACAAGAATTTGTTGGGATTTACAGCTTCTGATTTCACGGAGCAGATGGTGGACACTGGACAGATTTCTGGCTGAGATGATGAGAATTGCTCTGTCAGGACAGTGTATAGAAATGAAAATATGAGCTGATGTGATAGCAGGAATTTTAGGGAGAAGTTGGTGTATGTGGAAAGAGGGAAAGCTCAGAGGGAGCTTTCAAAGGATGCTCTAAAGGAGGCTGCACCTCCTGGGGGGGGTTTGTAAACCCTCAAAGGGTGGGCAGGCAGCCCCCAAAGCAAGCTGGAGCCAAAGGGGGGCTTGTCCTCAAACCAGGGAGTGCAAAAGAGGGCCTGTGGCCCAGGGAACGTGGGTTTGATAACTCTGAGCTGGGTTTTATCTCAGCCCACGCAGAGGAAACCTCTCTGTGACGTGAATAACTTGTGATGTGAGTGGCTGGTGCCGTGTTTCCCCCTCCTGCCCCTGCAGCATCACTGGTGCCACGGCTAAGGCTGAGCACTGCTTTGTGTCTTGAGTTTCAGAAAGTGGCTGAATAGAGCTCTGAGGAACATGGGAATTGCTGGAAGGTGTGTTATTAATCAGATACCTTCTGCTGGAGGATTTGAACACCTCCCTTTCTGAAAAGCTGCCTTACAGGGTGATATTGCCCCAGTTCTGCCCTAAAGCAACCAAAGTGGCTCCTAAGGGTTGGACTAGGTGATCTTTAGGGTTCCTTCCAGCCCAAACTGTTCTCTGATTCTACAATGAAAACCAGCCTGCAGTTTGGCCTGTGTTGGGCTCAGAATTCCAAACTGGGTGAGGATCAAGCTGCCTTCCCCTCCACTTCCCCAGGCTTTGATGCTCCACACACCCCTCGGTTCCCTGCCCATGGGAGCGTGGGCAGTGCTGACCCGCCTCAGAAAGGGACGTGGTCCTTCAATTTGGTGGTTTTCCCCTTTCCTTTCCCTCTTTGCTGAGCTGTGCCGTGGGTATGTGTGGAGCAGTGAGTCAGCCCTGGCTCCTCACATCCCGCACGTCCGAGGGAGGCTGGAGGCTTCCCCCGCCCCCACAGCGAGCAGAGAGCTCTGAGGAAACGCTGCCGGTGAAAACTTGGTGGGGTTTTTTTGGTTTTTTTTAACAAGTTTTGAATGTGCTTAGGAAATTGCATTGCAAGACTGGCTGTAAAAGTTGCTAAAGACTCGTCTTTCCCTCCTCAGCGTCTGGGTTATTTTTTCTTTAAATAAAAGGTCCTTATCTCCCCTGCCAACTTGGCAGCCAAGGTTGCAGCTGATTCCTGCATTTGGGCTGTGTTTTTTTTTCTCTTCTGCAAAGCTTAGAAAAATGGCCATTGCAGAGAAGATAGCTGGAGGGCACAGCAATTAGACAGGGAAAGTTCAAGGTTACTGTTCTTCTCGCTGGCTTTTTGGGGGGTAAGATGTGCTGTCTCCTCCCAGCTCCAAGAGATGAGAGGTGAGAGCTGCCCCGGCCCTGCTCAACTCCAGTGTCTGGGCTGTCCCAGTCCCAGAAACAAAGGTCAGTGGGAAGTGTTGGAATCGTGACATTTCACCTAAAAAAGGGTTTTTGTTTGCTTTTTTTCCAGGCAGGGTTTTATTTGCCTCCCGAACCCTGTGTTTGAAAGCCTCTTTTTCAACCTGAGGGCTGGGAAGGGTATTTTTAAATTCATTAAATACCAATGGAGATGTCCATGCAATTCTGAAGTACTGAGAGCTTGAGCTGTCAGGAGAGCACAGAGCTCAGGATAACTTGGAGCATTAACCAAGCAGCTGATAATCATCTGTGGCAAACACCTCTTAGAGCAGCACTCAGATTGTGCTGATCTAATTAAACAATATTTAATTCAATTTCGTTTTAAATTTCAGCAACTGAACTCTGTGCAAGCTCGTCGTGTGGACATTTAAATTGGATTATGTGTGGATAAAAGGATTAATGACTAAACTAAATTAGCCTAATTTTAGCTGTTCCCAATCTTATTTAGGAGAGTCTGCACAAGGAGGTTGTGGGGTTTAATCGCAACTTAAACCAGGCTTTGTGGCTGGGAGAACTGCACGAGTTTAACGTCATCTGGAGGAAGGGCTCTGCCTGAATTTCCAAAGCAGGGTAAGCACCTGAGGCTTGACCCAAATGTTGCTGGACAGGGGAGGCCGAGATGTGTGAGGGCTCAGGGAGATGATGCTCCACAGCCCAGCTCTGCTCACCAGCTTTGCACCTCCGAGCTCATCCGGAGCCACCAGCCCGGGAAAAGCTGCTTTGGAATTGCTCTGGAGGGTGCAAGTGATGCTGTGCTGTGTCATCTGGGTGTCTCTGCCTGCAGCAGCCCAAATTTAAGTCCCCCCCTGGCATGGCTCATTTCACACTGGGATAATCTTGGTGATGCCCCTGGGGAACGGGAGCACCGGCAGCTCAGCCCTGGCTGGGGGTGGACGTGCAGGAGGAGAGGAGCAGGGAGCATTCTCAGCTCTGGAGAGGTCTCAGGTGGCTCAGCTCCTGTTTCAGGGACACAGGACAGTGTCTCTTGGCTGTCACACAGCTCTGTGCTGGCGCTGTGGCCACGAGCAGCTGCCAGTGCAGGGCAGGGGCACGGCAGGCGCCAGGCATGCTGCGGGTGCGTGCTGGGGGCTCAGAGGGCAGGAGATCTGCCAGGAGAGGGGCTGGGAGGTGCTGGAAGGGAAAGGGACCATTCCCTGCTGCCAGAACATCCCCATATGAAGCTCCAAGGGATCTGCAGGGTGGTTGACACCCCCAGGCACAAATGTGCTGTTGGCTGCCCTGAAACACTCGAGAGAGAAAGAGGGATATAAAAAGAAAAAGGAAACCCCAAAGCCCAGCAAGCCCGATAAAGGATCTGTCCCTTTTAAAAATTAATAAAATAATATAATTTTGGTTTCCTTGCCCTGTTAGTTCCCACTGTACTGAAGCACTGTGTGCCTGCTCCACGGGCTGTGATGGGCACAGAGGGAAGGCAGGTCCCTGTGGGGTGTGGGGTGGGACATGGCCCCGTGGCTCAGCCCTGGTGACCTGGGCACTGTGGGGACCTGCTCTTCTGTGCTACCAGCAGGACTGAGAGCTGCCCTGGAGATGTCACAGAGAAACAGCCACAGGGATTCTGGTGCTTGGTGCCTGATGCTGCCATGTGGTTTTGCACCCAGGTGCTCTTCCAGCCGGCCTGTTCTCCCGTCTCAACCCAAATTGTGGATCTGAATTTTATTTTTCTTCGCCTAATATTATTTACCTAGGGGGAAGACATTCAAGCATCGTTAGCAGAGTGCTTTTGTGTAAGAATTCTGAGTCTGGGGGCCCACCCTGACCTATTCCACCCCAAGTGACACCCTGGTCTCTATGGCCACAGGAGGTCCCTTCTCACCAGTCCAGGGCTGTGACTCCGGGTTTTACAGAGTTGTGGAGGGGAACTTGAGACAAAATGCTGAGCTGACCTTTGCCTCTTGGTGTCATCTCCCAAAATGTGGCATCTCAGTGGTCTTGGTGGGAGCACAGCTGAGGTGGAAAGGTGTGTTGCTTCATCTTCCACATGTCTGTGTGTGGGCAAGGGTCAGGCACTGCTGGACCTTGGCTGTGATGAGCCTGAGCTCCACGGGGTGGTCTGGGACGAGGAGCTGATGCACCAACCAGGGAGGGGAGCAAAGGTGGGACAAAACACCGTGTTTTACCTGAGCAGGTCAAACCCTGTGCACAGCGAGGCTCTTGTTTGAATTCCAGCGAGTCGAACCCCGTGCACAGCGAGTGCTTTGTTTTAATTCCAGCAGCTGGGGGGGAGGAACAAGTGGCAACCAGGAGCAGAAAATAGCGTGTCCTTCATTTCAGTCACACTTGCGGTGTCAAGGAGGATCCACGGCTTAACAGAGGCTCCTAAATGACCCATTAGTTTAAACTTCCCGAGGTTGATGTCGCAGGGGGGGGCAGGGTTGCCGTGCTGAGGGCTGGCAGCAGGGATACAGAGCCCCCTTCATTCCACTGTTTGCTCCAAAATCCCCCCGAGGGGAGCTGCATGCTTTCCTAATGGAATATTTTCCTGTTTAGAAAACGGGGACATGACAAAAATAACGATGTCCTCCCCCTGCAAGGATAGTTTTATCAAGCTCCTGGTGGAAAGTGGGCAGGTAGCCCAGCCCCTGGCCCTGCCAGCTCTGCACCGTGTCACTGTGTGCCCGGGGAGGGCTGTGCCAGGGGGTGGGGGCCACAGACCCTCCAGCTCCGTGTGGCATCCTGTGCTGACCCAGCACGAGTCAGGGCACGTGGAACTCTACTGGCTGTGGGAATGAGCTGGTGGGGAGAAAAGGAAAATCCAGTTTAGGGGCAAATACTGAGCACTGTGTGAGCTCCTTCAGGAGAGCTGGTCCTGCCTTTCCTGGGGTTTGGGGTGACTGCTTTGCCCAGATCAGCTCCCCTTCAGCATCTGGCTGGCTGCAGGCAGCATCTAGCAGGTCCTGTGCTGCTGTGCCGGGAAGAACTGACCCCTTCTGTGATCCCAAGTCAGAGTCTTCCTTAGTTTTCACACTTGTACAATTATGCTTGATTTGCTCCCACATTTGCAGAGGAAACAGTGAAAAAGATTAATTGTAGTAGAATGTTGAAGAGTTTGTGATGTGGTCGATCTGAGGATCTTCATGGGGTAGTAATGACTTTCTCTGGGTTCATCCTGGAGAGGAGATGGAAGTCAGACCTCACCGGGGGCTGCAGCTTCCTCAGAGGGGCAGCTCCAATCTCTGCTCATTGTGACAAGGGACAGAACCCCAAGGAGGGGCTGGAGCAGTGTCAGGAGGGGTTTAGGTTGGATATTGGGAAAAGGTTCTTCCCCAGAGTGTGTTTGGGCTCTGAACAGGCTCCCCAGGGCAGTGGGCACGGCCCCAAGGCTGCCAGAGCTCCAGGAGCGTTTGGACAACGCTCCCAGTGACAGGGTGGGATTTTGGGGTGTCTGTGCAGGGCCAGGAGTGACTCGATGATCCTTGTGGGTCCCTTCCAGCTGAGGACATTCTGATTCCATGGCAGGACACAGCCCATGGCAGCACTGCCCTCAGGGCTGCAAAGGGAGGCAGCAGCAGGACGGGTCAAAGGGCCTCTGCCCTTTGGAACCAGCTCCCAGGGTTATTTGAATTTAAACCTAAAGTAGGTCAGTTGGGTTTGGGTTCAAAGTTTTATTTGCTTTCAGAGCAGGTGTAGGGTTGGATTGGAATTTCATTAGAAATTCCTGAAACGCTTTTAAAAGAAATCCCGGTAATTAGTAAAGTCGGTGTTTTAAATCATCTGTGCTGGAATGAGGAGGTTGTTTCCTGGTCAGGTTTTAATTAAGGTGGGAAATAAAAAATCCAGGTAAAGAAAAACCTGTTTTATTGCTGATATCAGCAGTCTTGCAATTGAAAGAGTTGCCAAAAAGTTACAACAAGGAACAGCATTTCTTACCCTTGGAAAAATCTTCCCAGGTTTCCCTCTTCCCGTGCAGCTTCAGTGCTTCTGGCTCCAGGTCCTGTACCTCATTCCAGGTTTTTCCCATGAAGCTTTGCAGGCACCTGACAGGACACAGACAGGTTGTACCTGCTCTAATGATGTGAGGTTTCATCCCAGCTCTGGGAAGTCAGGGCCTGGAGGGGACTGGGGCTTTGGAGTCTGCCCTGCCCTGTGCCAAGATTCTGCTCAGCATCACCAAGCAAATCATCTTTCTCCCTGATGTTTTCCATTTGAATGTGCTGTCAGGACTTGTGTTTCAGGCATTTGTTAATCCTTTAATGAAAAATGTACCAGCAGCATTAAGCACTGCTTAATTTTTTTATGCTTGAACTATAAATCCATCCTCAGTCCATCCTTTTTCCTTAATGGAGGTTTTGCATTTCAAGGGATTAAGTGTTCTTTATGCAGTGCTCTGCCTCTGATTTTCAGCTTCTTTTGTGTTCCTCTGAACTCCAGAGAGAGAGAGAAGTTTAAAAACTAATCAAATATGATGATTCCAGACTGGTCAGTGCTGACTAACTGGTATCACACCTCAGCAGCTGAATCAAAAGCTGCTGATCTGGGATGGTGTCCTTGGGAAAGCTCCCAAGGGAGTAAAGTAGTCACGTGCCTTTAATCTGGATGTCAGATGGCAGGAAGGAAAACAAAGCTACTCATGCAGGAGTCACATCCTTTTGCACCTTGGCTGCCACCACCTGGGTGTTTGGTCCTGGGCTCACCCTGGGTGCAGCACCCGGGGAGCTGCAGGGGATGGTGAACCCACAGTTCCTTCCTCCCCCACAGCTCCCCCTGCTCCATCCCTGAGGCCTGGAAAGTGTTGGGAATCTGCCTGCTCAGGCAGCAGGGCTGGGGCTGCCTGGCCAGCTGAAGAGCCTAATTCTAAAAGCAGAGGCTGGGCAGGTGTTAGCCTGGTGTTACTGCAGGGTGTGACCTTGTGACACCGGGTGACACTCGTGTCCCCAGCTGGCAGGGCTGTTCTGCACCCTCACACGTTTTTAGAGGGAGATTAGCTTTTAACCAGCTGGCTGTGTACCTGATTTCTGTACCTGATGCTGGGACTTTTTTCCACCTGAAGCTTAAATCCTTGGCTGCTGCCAGTGTGGCCCAGGCTGTGTCCTGTAAAGCGTGTCCCTGCCAGCCCACTGCTGGCAGTGTGTGATGCCCACTGCATGGGTGCAGGATGACCTGAGGTGAAGCTTTTCTGCGTCTGATGAGCTGGGAAGGGATAGAGAACCTGCTTGACAGGTCACACACGTGCCCCACAGAGCAGGAGCTCAGACTATCTCGCTCACATGAACATTGCAGGGCACGAGGAGGCAGCAGCTCTGGGATTGAGGTGGGGAGTGGGAGCTCCTCAGGAGCTGGTGGTGATCTTGCCCTGGAGAAGGTGCTTCCAGCAGAGCAGTGACCCCTAACACCACGTCTGGGCAGGGTATGTCCCATGACTCAGAGCATGATTTCCTGCAGGGGATGATATTATTTGTTTTCCAGGGAATGTCTGGCCCAGCCCTCGGAGGTCTGTGGGCTCTGACACAGCTCGTCACAGATCAGCACAGGCTGAACTGAGGAAGCACTGGGAGTCCTGTGAGCATCTCTCTTTTCCATCTCACTGATCCCAGACTGTTCCAATGCTTTTATTTTTTGTGGTTCATTTTTAGCATTGTCTCCTCTGTATCCAGCCAGCTCCACTGCCTTGGTGTGTATTCACTCCCTGGTACTCAGGACAACACTGTCCATGGAAACATAGACAGAGAACAGCCTGGAGCAGCATTCCAGCCTCATCCTGTCCCATCAGGGACACAGGGCTGTCAGGGATCCCCTGCCCAAGCCATGCTATCCCTGAGCACCAACCTGTTCACAGCTGATTTTTTCCTTTCCTGCCTTTATTGATCTGCACTACTCAACCCATAATTGCTTTTTTTCTTGTTTGAACTTGTAGGGCCTGAAATTCCAGGTTTAACTTTGCTTTGGCAAGTCCAGGGGAAGGAGGAAAGGACAGATCAAGGTATTTTGGTGGTTTAGTCAAACACCTTGTGGCCTGGGTAGTGTTTTGCAGTCCTACCCTTGTTGATGTGACAGAATTGCAACGTCCTGAGCTTTTCACTAATATGGGGTGGTGCATCAGCTTTTCAGAGTATATTAATGCTGAAATTTGCTGGCTCTGGTGGGATCAATAGGTGGCATTTACAGTCTTTCCAAGACTTCAGCCTCCTGGTTGACTGGCAGTGCTTCAGGGCACGGCTTTAAACCAGGCAGAATGGGCAACCTGCAGAGGGTGTTTGGCTACATCCAGCATCACCAGCAGCCTTGTAGAAACCCAGACTGGTCATATCTTCCTCTCCTTTGCCTTCTCTGACAGGAGGAAGTTTGACGGGATTTCTGAGGTCGGTGGTGGCACTTTTACCACATGAGGCTCCACTGAGGGGTCCGACACACCCAGCGCTCAGGACCCGCGGGCACCTCGTGGCGCATCTCCCCTCTGCGTTCCGCTTTAAAAAACGTCCCAGCGCTCCTCCTCGCTTCCTTTTTGCCGCCAGCTGAGCTGGGGAGGAGGCTGCAGGAGGAGGAATGTGGTGTTACCGCATTGCTGAGCAGGAGCTGGGGCGGGGCGGGCACGCCCAGGCCGGGCACACCTCAGCCAGGAGGAAGCCGAGCCCGGCTTTCACGCACTGTAGCCTGAGGGACAGTATTTTTTTTTTCCCCCCCAGCTCTTTGTATCCCCTTTCTCTGAGCTTCCAGTCCTCAGCTTGCACGTGCCTGTGTCGCTCAGCACGGGGATGGGGAGGTAGGTGACACAAACAGCAGAGGAACTGGAGGAGGGATCTGGAGTGATCTGCTGAGCCCCTGACCAGCATGGGAGAGGTCGTGATTTGGGGGTTATTTCGGTAAAGACGGTGGATAAGTCTCCATGAAAGTCTTTTTGAGAATGAAACCCCCCAGTTTAGGTGAAATGTAGTGTGTGAGTGGTGCAGGGGGGCAATGGATGGGGGTGTTGAGATGTGGAGGCTGCTGAGTTACCTTCACTAAACACTTTTTAGTGTAAACATATTACTTAAAGGTTTGTTGCTTTGCTGCCACAGTAAAAAAAAATAAAGTTATGAAACTGCTTCCTTTAATAGTCATGTAAAGCATCGGAGACCACTGAAAGGTCGTGAATGCAAGGTAACTGAATTAGATCTGAAGCAGGGGAGAAGGGCTCCTCCTCAGCTGGGCATGGGGCTGGAGCTCAGACAAGAACCTTGGTTCTTAAAAATTACTCTTTTCACAGCTGGTGAGTCCACAGGATTGTGGACACAGCCCAGCAGATAATCCTGGAGCTCCTCTTGGGTGATTTTGTGTCTTGAGGAATTCCGGTGCTGCGGGCAGGAGGGGGGACTCTGCCTGTGCAGCCCAGGTCGCCTTTGGGCTGGAAGTCTGATGTGTGGACACACAGCGTGATTAGAACTCACGTGGACGTGCCGAGTTAGGCTTTAAATGATCCAGTTGAGGTGTTGATGGTGGCAGTGCCTTGTCAGTGTGAAGCAAAACACAATAAACCTGTCTGAGAGGGCGGGTGAACATTCCAGGGAATCCCCTGATGGAGCCGAGCAGCAGCTCTGGAGGGAGCTGGTTTCAGGCTAATTTGGTCCACGCCAGCCCCGGGGGAGTTAAGGTGGGTTATGGATGGGCTCTCACTTGCTGTTTGCCCACAGAGCAGCTGGTCCAGGCTGCCCTCACCCTCCCCAGGAGTGAGTTGTGCGTGCGCTGTGCCCGTCTCGGGAGTTCTGTGGTAACAGGGTGGGGATGTCTGGGGATCCCTGAATCACTGCCTTTATCATCGCTGCACCCACGGGCACCTTCTGGCCCAGGTGAGGCAGCTGCCTGTTAAAAGCCAGGGAGGAGGGAGCCGGGGCTCAGAGGGCTCCTGTGGTTGCGGAGCGGCTGCCGGGCGGTGCGGGGGGGAGGGAGCCCTCGCTGTGAGCCGGGGACACTGCGGGGACACCGCGGGGACAGGGACAGCGCTCCTGCTCCCCCAGGGAAGAGGGCAGGTGAGGTTTGCGGCTCTTGGGGGTGTGCTGGCAGCTCTTCCTTGCCTGGGTTCTGTGGGAGACACTTACTCTCGGTTGGTTTTTATGGGTTTCTTCGTTTCATAAAATGGGACTTTGAGCTGTCTCGTGATGAGTTTTGATCTGGAGCTGATTCTGGAAGCGCAGGCAAAAGGTGGGGCTGAGGAACAGACAGTGCACCCTGGGACGGGGTGGCTGGGGGCTGTATGGGGGATGAGTGTGTGTGCACACTCTTTGGAGCATCCCTTCCAGCTGTGCACTCCCACCCGGCATCGGCACCGATCCCTGGTCGCTGTGGATTGTGGTGCCGGGGGCTGTGGCTTCTCCCTGTCCCTGGGGAAAAGTGATTTCTCAGTCAGGAATCACTGCTGAGAGCAAGGAGCCTGCTGGTACCTGTGGTTCACCTCAGTAGTAACATAAAGATCCAAAGATAGCTTTTGGGGAAGAGGGGAATCTCTGACAGACTTTGGGAGAATCCTGTGTGCTCTTCGTGAGCTGGATGAGAAACTGTTGTTCTTTGTACCTTATAAACTAACACAATCTGACTTTCCTCTTCACAATTCTTGACTTTTCACCCATGTTATTCTGTGTGGATCAATTAAAATCATCTCCCTGTAAACTGAGCAGGAAAGTGAAGGGCATGGGCTGAGTTTTGACTGACATTTTCTGCTCATTTTCACTTACACTGTGCATTCTTCCCTAGGTGTGTCCGTGGCCCAATGGAGTCTCTTTGCCAGCCTTGGCCATGGGCATTATTTGTCCTGCTGGGTAAGGCTCACCATGGCGTGTTATTAAAAGGACATGGGGCAAGCTGACTAAATAGAAACACTGCTAATGTAAGCTTTGTATCAGCAGCAGTGTGGTGGCAGCAGCAGGAGACTGGGGTTTGATAACAGTGCTGGTGTTTGGCAAAAGGCTGAGCTGCCAGACTGGCTGTATGAACAGGGGACACCAACCAGGGCTGGGCAGGATGATGGGCAGGGAGGGCACTGAGCAGCCCAAATCCTGGGGTCAGGGAAAAGAAGAGTGTGAGAGAGAACTGCTAGTACAAAACAGTTTAAAAGTGCCTTTTCAAATTAAAAATAAAGGTAGTTCAGGGGCAAAATAGCTTCCTTCTCACTGGCAGATGCCTGGGGTAGGTTGTCCCAAGCACGACTTTGTTGCTCTGTTGTAGGAAACAGCAGATTGTTTTCTGGTGTTTTCTGTGTGTCACCCTGACAGGGTCCCTAATCCTGTTTTCCTGCTGTCCCAGCTGCCCCACAGCTGCTGGATGCACAGCAAGACTGTTCCCAGGGAGCCTGCTACCCCACCTCTGGAGACCTGCTGCTGGGACGAGCCCACCACCTGAGAGCCTCCTCCACCTGCGGCCTCAGCAGGCCTGAGACCTACTGCACACCCCATGGAGAGGTACCCCCACCCCCTCACCTCCTCCCTGCACGGCCCCAAACCTCCTGCAGGGCTGCAAATGCCTTCACCCATCCCAGCCCTCCTGCCCCTTCACAGGGATGTGTTTGACCCATTGAGCCCAGGCAGGATGGGGCTCTGAGAAACCTGGGCTAATGGAAAGTGTCCCTGTGGAAGAGGGTTGGAATGAGATGAGCTTTGAGGTCTCTTCCAAGCCAGACTGTTCTGGGATTTTATGATTTGTCCCCTCTCCAACCATGCTGGGTCTTTGCACTGCAGTGTCCCCTCGAGCCCTTCTCTACCATCCCCATGGATGAGAAGAGAAGCTGGCCAGGAAGGACAAGTCAGGAAAAGGGCAGCAAAGCTCTACCACAAAGCACTGAAGACAAAACACAAGCTTTTGCATCTGAAATATCCCAGACTCTCCTATCTCTGGATGTTTTAGTTATAAGCTAAACTCGTATTTCACTTGTCAAAAGCGGGAACATTTCAGGTCTTTCCCAAAGACTTGGAAAAGCTGCTGGACTGAACAACTGTTTTCAATCATGCTGCTTGTGTGGGGGCAGGAGGTCGTGCTGGGGGGAAGATGAGGCTTCAGGCAGCTGCAGATTCCCCAAAGCTGCCACCAAATCAGAGGGGGAGTTTAAGGATAAATCTGCCCGAGCACAGAGCTGAAAACTGCAGGGGTGATGTCCCTGGTGTGAGCACTTCCTAAAGCCTTTCTCTGCCTGCTGTTAACTCCATAACTGCTGGGGGAGGAGCTCCAAAGGGAGTGAGTTCAGTGCAGGGCAGGCAGAAAGGGTCTTGGAGGAGATGCTCCAGAGGAAAGTAAATGGCCCCCCTCCAGCGAGGCTGTTTTCATCAGTGAAATCCAGCTCGAGTGAGTCAGCCTTCCTCTGGTTTTAATTCCCCTCCAAATTGAAGGCCAAGATGTGGCAGTAAGTGGATTTGTGGTGGAGCCAGTGGTGTTCTCTGGGCTGGAGAGCTTTCCACTCCTCTGTGAGCTCAGGGAGGAGGCAGCTCCCTGGCCCAGAGGGGTGTGAGCATCACATCCTGCGGGATGCTGGGCTGGCTGCAGCACCTCTCCTCTGTCAGCTCCTTTTCCAGGCTGACAGTCACAGTCAGGCATTTCCTCCATGCAGGCTCCCACTCACTTTTTTTGGAGCTGTTTTGCTGCTCCCAGGGATCAGGGCTGTTTGTTCCCCTGCTGCTTCCCATGGCTGCTGTGGCCCGTGGATGGGGAAAAGGAATCAATGATTTCTGCTTTGACTTAATTGTCTTCTGCTTCCCAATTTCTGTTTATAGATGAGGAAAACTCCATAAATGTGCCTCTGAAATATCCACTTAACACTGACTTTTGACAGTGACTTTTACTTGAAAAGGGGACTTGGGGGGCTTGTACTGTGGGAAGCAAATGTTGGAAAACCCTTGATTACTCTGGTCATCCTAATACCAGCTGGAGTGGGCTGGTTATTCCCTTTGCCTGACCTTGAGAGATCACTCTGAAGGGCATCAGTTGTGATCATCTGCATAATTTGTAATCTTTGAAGTGGAGATTGGACACCTCTCTGATGTCTCTGCTGTTCCTGGAGCAGAAATGATCCTTTGGGTGCAGAATTAGTGAGTGAGGGCTCACGGTGGGGCTGTGGAGGAGGGCAGGGAGCAAGTTTACTGCAGTCTCTTCTAGTCTACAAATCCCTAAACTATTCACTTTTCATGTTTCTTGTCCCTTGCCTTACAAGAACCAGGGTTAAGAGAGACATGGAACAATTAACACTGATAATTTGAGTTGGATTCTCCAGTTCTGGCTTTGGGAATGGGGTCTTTGCTTCCTTACATACATGGGATCCTTTCCTTTACTGAAATGAAAGATGCAGAGTTACTCCTAGCAAATTCCCTGATTCCTGTTCTGCAACTGTAATGGCCAATGCAGTTTTGATTAGACCAGCTCTTAACTCGATGGGAGAAATCCCCATGGATTCAGCATTTCCTAATTTTTCCCACCCTTCCTCTCCTTCCCTAATTTAAGCAAAACTTAATCCCCTGAACCCAATTTTCCTATTCCCGTCCCATAAAACATTTAATTTATAGACTCCTGTGACTCTTTTTTGGTCACAAGCCTTGCTCTTGTTTTTTTTTTTTTTGCCAAATAGGTGCAAATCTGGAGGTGGTTTTGCAATCCTAGCAGAGGGCATGGGATGAGGGGTTGCTCTCCCTGGTGCCAGCTGGTCAGTGCTGCCTGTCTGCTGGCCCCAGGGTCCTCTTTTGCAACTCTGGTGGGTCACTTATCGACTTCAGCCTCTGCTCCATTGTCTGCTCCAGCTCCAGATCCCTCTAACCTTTATACTTTGCACTCCTGATTGCTCCACTCCTTGGCTGGAGCCTCAGTCTAGTGAAATCCAGGAGGGACACTCAGCATTGCCATTTATAGCACAGGGGACTGCACTGGGGGTCAGGGAAGTGGTGGGGGGTGGAAACCAGGCAGGCCAATGGCATGGCCTGGAAATCACTGAGTGCTTGGGAAATGGCTGGTGGAGCCAGCAGGGAAAGGGAAAGCAGGAGGGAAAATGAAAATAAAACAGGAAAAGAAGCGAGCCTGGATTTGGAGTCGGAGAGGGAAGACTCGGTGGGAAAGATTGATGCAAAGAAACTCTGGAAAGACTCTGGTGGACTGGGGTGTGATTCAAGGCTCTGTTAACACACCTCTTTCTTTGCAAAGATATAATATATATGTAAATATACATATTAGAGAGATGTAAATATAAACATCTGCACAGCACTGTGATGGGAGTGCAGAGCAGCTCCCACTGGCTGCCTCCAGCCCAGGGAAGGCACACTGTGGCTTTCACATGGACTATCAAATCCCAAGTCCCCTTGCCTGGCCTGGCCATTCCAAGTGACAGCATGAGGGCTGTGCCTGCCTGTGGCTCCTTGCTCTGCTGCTGGAAGCAGTGGGACCTGTGCCATGCCATGTTCACACCCAGCAAAGATTAGCATTTCTCTGCAGGGAGAGTGTTTCTTTCCTCCAGGCTCATGCAATGCTTTTGCTTGGACATATTCACACCTAGAAAGCAGCTACAGGTTTTTCTGGTTGTTTTATTAGTTTAGGAGAGCACCTCAAACCCCCTGCACATCCCTGTGAAATCTTTTCCTAGAGAACAGGCAGGAGAGGAGCAGAGCTGGGTGTCCCTGTGCTTGTGTTGCATCCTACAGTGGAGAGGGGGGTATGTGACAGTTGTGTGGGGTCCTCACATCCCAGCCCCGAGAGATTTTGGATGTTAAAAGCTGTTGGCATAAGGACCAGGATTTTCAGCCTTCTCTCACCTGCTCTTCATGGGCATTTGGTGGATATGAAGGGTGGGAAATCACCTTTATCATCCCTTGTGTCGTGGTGACACGGAGTCATCCAGGTGGGAATTGAGAGGTGCCAGAGGAGCCTGATCCCTACATGAGTCAGGAGGAGGGAGATGTGAGCCTGCTGGAGCTCCTGGCACAGCAGAGGGGGTTCCTGTGCTGGTGGATGGTCACATCTGCCTGGCAGGGCTGGGCTGCAGCAGCTCTGGTGCCTCAGCACCAGTTCCTGCTTGGCTGCTTCCAAAAATACTCCCTTCCAGTGTCTGTGAGGGAGAGTAAGTGCCAGACTGATGCTTCTGCCTGCTGTGCTGCTGCTGTCTGATGGTTCCATCTGCTTTGCCCACCTGCATGAGTCAGTCAGGGAGCTGGGTGCCCAGCCAAAGCTTCCTGGGTGCTCCAGCAGGCCCTTGGCATGTTGGAACAGGGGAGAAGGAGGCAGGAAAGCTGTGCCTCCCAGCTCACTTTCTTTCCAGACTCACTTCATCAGTCAAACTCAAGCTTTTTACACGGAAAAATGCATCCACAAAATCATGAAATAACTGTGACAGGACGTGACCAAAGCAGGGCTTCTACTTTGGGGGTTTTTCCTCATCAAGTCCAGGGTTTGCCCTGAATAATTTGTGTTCCCGACCTGTTGAAGGTGATACAGCAACCACATGTTGCTGCTCAGTGCTTATCTCATTCAGGCATTCAGACACACCCTGCTCCTTGCTGCAGGGATATGTCCCTACCTGCAGTGGATGTGCAGAAGAAAAAGCCTATTTTCCATTGTTTTTTCCCTCCTCCCTTCTCTGTATCCTTCTTAGTTTTGCCACATGCCTGCAAACCAAACATGTGCTGGGAGACAGCACATCATTGCCTTGCAGGGGCAGCAGGACCCCAGCAAGGCCTGCAGGGTGTGGGATAAACTGGTGCAGTTTGGGCTTTGCAGGCTGCCATCCTGGCAGATTTTATATCAGGGTTTGCTGGTGAGAGAACAGACAGGGTAAGGAAAACAGGCCCCCACGTGC